AATAAACAAAAATGTGACTAGTGTGAAAAACTATGAAATCATCGTCATTAGCAGTATAAGCATGTCTAATCCCAAGTTGATACCAAATTAGAAGAAAAGTAAGAGTTGCAAGATGTTCCAGTTACCTGAAGAAGACGGCTTTCGTAGTCGTCATCAATACAAATATATTCCACGTGTTCTTCTATATCCACATCACTATCAATCCCAGAAGATGACGAGTCTCCTTCAGAGGTTTCATCATCATCATCACTATCGTTGTTCTGAGAAGGAGAGACATGGTGGAGTTGTATGCCACATCCTTTTATCCTTTGGACGGAATAGGGACAAGCTTCTGTGTGATGACGACAGTGAGAACAATGTCCATACATACGGTAGTAAAACTCAAGTTTCACATCGTCTGAGTCTAAGTCTAGTTCAGATGGACATTCAATTCCTTTTTCTGTATCGAACCCAAACTGGAATACAAACAGATGATTCATCTTAAGATTTTCACTCTTAATGGACACATGATCAAAGTCATTATGATGCACACCGGTTTTGCCTCTGAAGTACCAGCGTACTCCAACTCTAAATCCAACGCATGGTAAATCAAACTCCGTGATAGTAAGAGGTTCAAGCACGATGCAACCCTTAAATCCCAAAAGTTCTTCCAAAAGAGAGCTTTCAGGTAAATGAACAGTTAGGGAATTTCCACAAACTCGTTGCGTGAAATACTCAGGCACTTGTCCACCTGGTAAGAACGTCCTTTTGAAATCTGATTGTATGATGAGTTTCTGTGCGTTTTGATCCAAATTGATGCAGTTATCGAAACAGATACAAAGCCTTGGATGAGAGACACCCTTGAAAACCTCTGCATCACCAAATTCTGTGACTCCTTCACAGTGAGAAAAGTCTACGTTCTGAAGCTTTTCCAATTCAAAGATGTTTGGAGAGATGTTTTTTAACCTCTTGCAACCTCTCATCTCGAGTGTCTCGAGCTCAGAGAAATACTTAATCCACCAAGGAACTTCTTCAATCGCTGTGTCGTTGAGAGAGAGTCTCTCTATGTTCCTTGAAATCTGAGGGAAACTTTTCAACTGTGAGCAACCACTGAGATTGAGAAATTCGAGAGATTCCAAGTTGAGGTTGGTTGGAAGAGACTCGAGCCTTGTGCATCCTTTCATGCTCAACTTCTTCACCTTATTGAGACTTTGGATTGAACAAGGAACAGTCACCAAACTTTTGCAATCATTGAGAAACAAGAACTCGAGTCTGGTGGCCTTTAAAAGATTTGGAAATTCTTTCAGGTTTTCAGATCCCGACAAATCCATCTCCACGAGATTTCCAATTGACT